AACCCGGAAGAATAAATAACCAACCCAATGAATAATACCCCGCCTACTTTGATGGGCCTGGCCCAAACTTTGGATTTTGGACCTTTGGGCGTCTGTTTCAGTTCGAGGAGAAAGGGGAAGAAAGAAACGGAGTGACGGCGGACGAAGACAACGGCCTCCGGCACTCCAAGAGAAATTTGCGTCGAGTTCTTGATCGAGTTCGGGTTCAGACCACACGGCAATCTCCGATACGATACGATAATAATTCCAACTGAAAAATCGACACCATGATCTGCAAGGCGTATCTCATCGCCCAGAGCGAGGTCATCCTCCCTCACCTTTTTTTTTTTTCTATTTCAGCTTAGGGTTCAGGAATTATTTATATTATTTTGTACGACATTCGACAAGTTTTTTTAATGATAAAAATTTTAGCATTTTATTTTTAACTCTCTTTTGTAATTCTTGCAGTCAAATGATATCTATAAAAGTTTGTCTGATTGTTTCCATATATTGTCTGATGCTTATCCATTCATGTTGTATGTTTGTTTCTTTATCCGAATCTGTTTGGGCTATTGCTTTGATGAAAATCTCTTCAAAATTCAGTTTCATTCGGATTCGAATAGTTACCCAAAAATCCATCCTCAGTCCCAATTTCCTTTGGTCCATGGATGCTTGTATAACAAAATATATGGATAATCATCATAAGCTAGTAAGCCACTGCTCTTTTATGCACAACAATGGGAGTGAAAGAATTCAAGAACATAACAACTGAATGGTTTTCCCATTTTTCCCATTTAGTATGCAGTGAATACTATAGGGGAAAAATGGGAAAAAAGAGTAAAGTTGCGTTATTGTGTTTTAGCATTTGGGAAGGTCAGAAGGTGGCGGCAGCAGCTTCTGTTTGCGGCCCTTCCCGTCGTTGACAACCCATGCCATTTTCAAGCCCCAGCTAGTGTGCACCTCCAAATGGCAGTGCATAAACCAAACACCTATCCATTCATTCAACTTTGGTTAGATTTATCAAAACTCCAACTGAAAACTGTATGGATATGTTAGAAAGTGCAACCTACCAGGATTATCTGCAAGGAACCGTATGGCAACCCACCCACCGGCTGGTACCCCAACTGTGTTCCTCTCTGCGGGGTCAATGAGGTTGAACTTGGCATGATCCTTTTTGGGGTCATAATTTCCAACACCCATTCCCACCACAAAGAAATTGAAACCATGTAGGTGTAGGGGGTGGCTCTCTGCCCCAAGGATGCTGGTGTCCTGCATTACCAATTCCACACTAGTGTTGAAAGGCAGCACCACTACCTTTGTGCCGCTGTTCAGCATGATGTTTTTTGGGGGTGTGCCAGTGTAGTTAAACTTGAATGGTGGGTTGGTTGGGAAATCAGTGGTGTAAACTCCTTTTGACTGGTTAAAGAAGTGAGCTTGGAGAAGAGCTATGTTTGGCTGCACAAAGGAGACATTGTTAACTCCAGCTGCCGCCCTTGTATTGTTGTTGGAACATGTTTGGTTCTGTGAACATGGCAGTATCCCTAGTCCAACTGTGAAGAAGAATTGTCTGTCAACTTTCTTAGGAACCTTTGCTGGGAATTTTGCAGTGGCCAGGCTTCGGATCTGTTTGCTAAACTTCAAGGCATAAGTCGAGTCATTGAACTTTGGAAGTACTGGTTTCAGAAGTGGGAGATTTTGGCTGTTCTTTGAGGAAGAAGAAGATTTCTCATACTCCAGAATTCCAATTGTTGTGGTGTTGTCAAAACTGGCAGGGCCAGTTGCATAAGGCCTGGCAGCCATGGCAAAGTTGGATTTTGGAACCTTGGATTTGGCCTTGAGGAGGACATTAGTGGTTTGCCCTGGAGTGATGAGTACAATATGTGTTTTGAAGGGTTTCACATAAACAGCATCGGTCTCTACAACAGTGAGGGTGTGGTTTCCGATGCTAAAGAAGAGCTCATCATTGAGTGCAGCATTGATCAGGCGAAGGAGATAGGTTTTTCCAGGCTTCACCTTGAGCTTGAATGTATCTGCATTCATTGAGTTTCATTTACTGTTGTTTCTTCTTGGGCTGAAACTATGTATAATTTTAAGGATGAAATTGCAGTACCTTTGGCTGAGCAGTTGTAGAAGGGTCCTGGGAGACCATTAATGGTGTAGGCATCAGAAATATTCGGTGCACCTCCCGTTTGCATGGCTTGGTTAATTACAGTCTCTGTGTCTGCCTTCCACCATTCCCCTGCAATTTCAGGCAAAGTTCATAATCAAATCAAGATAGAGATACAGAACATTTCTATGAATGTTGGGGGTTAAAAGAGCATGTGGGAGATTTTGTAGGGTACCAAAAAGGATTGGAACTTCTTTGAAGGGCTGTGGGAAAGGGTAAGATGAATGTCTTCTGGGGAGAATGACTATGGGTCCATAGACGGTCACTCTCAGCCAAGAGATATGGGCATGCCAAAACAAGGTGCCTTTTTGGCCAGTGATGGTGAAGTTGTATACATATGCCTGCCCTGTTTGAATTGGGCATTGTGTGATATAGGCAGGTCCATCCGCCCAACCGCTCCTTAGTTGCCTGATCCCATGCCTATTTCCCATGTTCAAGCCAAAATTGTCAATAAACCTATAAAGCCAAGCCAAAACCAAGACAACGAGAGAGATCAAAATAATTTGCCTTACCAGTGTAGAGTGACATTGTACTGGACTTGGTTAACCACCTTGATTAGAAGACGATCGCCTTCCCTCGCTATGATCCGAGGCCCTGGGAACTGGCCATTTACTGTCACAATGCTCTTGGTCTGACACAATCTTGTTACATTTTGCATCTTGATCTAAAAATATTGAAAAGAAAATGAAATGCATGATCAATCATTGCGACATGGTGCGCCATGGTAGAAAAACAGCAGTCATGCCACCAACACTTACATTAAACTTGTAATGCCTGGTAATGCCCGCATGCTTTGCAAGTCCGAGAGCAGGTATCATCCAAAGAGCACATAATGCAACACAAACAGCCCTAAGGAAACAACCCATGCCTCACTTTTGCTTTTCCTTTGATATCTAATTAATGAGTTTGCTGGAGTTTGATTGGATGCAGAAAGAACAGCAGCTAAGGTTGTATATATAGTAAGAGAACAGCTAATATGTTAGGTAACTCAAGTTAAGATCAATCTTCACAAAAAGGCCTGTGCTTCGGATATGACAGATTTCAATCCAGTAGCTGCTGAATCCTTTTAGAGTAATATTCAAGTTGGAAAATGTTAATTATCCAAAATCTAACTTCAACGGAATCCTAATTTCCTATAATAGCCCAAGGCTCTATATATCTTTCAATATATATATATATATATATATATAAAACATGAACCGGAGTTAATTAGAAATATAATGAATGCTTTGAGTAATAGTTGAATGTAGCTTTTGTAGGAACTTTGTTTAATTAGATTTTGGACTAGAGGAAAAACAATTATATGAGTTTTATGTGTTGCAGTTTAGGCTATATTGATTGCAAAACACCAATTATTATATTGAAAGATCTATACCCATTATTAAGAAGTTTCTTTATTCAATGGTTAATATTTTGTAATTTGGTACAATTTGAAATTTGAAATATAAAACACTTTTTCGTAATTATATTCAAGACTTAAATGAGAACAAAACATAAGTTTCTTTTGAAATTTAACCAAGGGAAAATTATGGGGCATAATAATAAGAATGGAGGAGGCAATTTAGTCTAAGAATTATAATTAAGAAAATTGAATGGGTTTAGACCTTAAGATTAGAAAACAACAAAAAGGATTAATTCAAAGGTCATAGCGGAAGTTGAGAATGGAGGTAGATTGACGATTGGACTAATGCGGGCAATATTGTTGCTTAAGTGGTAGCCTTCTTCCTCAGCCTCCTAACTTTGATACTTGCTAAACAAGTCAAAAGGTTTTCAAGACATTCAACCATGTTGTTAGTTGTCGGTTGTTCATAACTGTAAATTCTTAACAGCTTTTGATGCTACCTTGCAGAGCTTGCCTTTCTCTCCTAAAACCAACTCCGTTTCTTTTCCCTCTCCCGCATAGCCCATTGTATTGGGTGAGTTTGGGATTAATTGTGAAAACACTTTGGGGATCTTACAATTGCATCCTTACATCAATTTGGTACATGACGTAATATGTTTAAAGAAATTAATTTTTTTCAATATTAAACAAAGTCATAAATTCTAAATCTACTTACGATATAATACTTACTTAATTATAAAGATAACCTTAAAGTTGAAATAGTCATTATTGTATCTAAGTAACATGTTTCTTTCTTCTTCTTTTTTTGATGTAACAAAAATTGAAACAATAACATTTACAATACTAAAAATTTGATAATCATGCAAGTCAGACGAGGAGGCTATCAAAAAGTGGCA